CTGACGTTTGTGTTGTTGCTGCTGCTGTCTCACAAAACTTCCTCGTCAGGCTTTCCCCCCCAAGACAATCCTACTGCTTTATAATCCTACACTTATACACAAGGAGGCACTTAAATAAGTATTCGGATCCTTAATCTTGTTAACATACGACACTTAAATCTATCACATCCTAGGGTGCACAGTTAAGACTTCACTTGATTGTGTTGACTTAGTAAGCCTGCATCACTCGCAGGGTCCTGACGTGCCCACTGTTCTACCCACTGGAGTGACCAACACTTGACTGAAGCGCAACATCCACCACACACTCAAGATGCCAAATTGAACTTAATTCTCACGGACATAAAATTGATGCCCATATCATTTATAGCTTACCCAGGTGACCAACAGGAGGGTAACTATAAACACATAATCAGTGTAAAAAGATGAAGTATATGAGAGTAAATATACGCTACTGTGTGGGCTCAAAATGTTATAAAACCCATGCCCAGGCCACCAAGTCCGTGAGAGTAAGTGGATGTGAAGGATGTTGAGAGATGAGAGCACAGGTTGCCCGAGGGGGTGATTGGGGGTGGGCACTGCTCTCTGCTGCTGCCAGACGTACGAGGCGCCCATGCCGCTAGTTCCCCCCTAGAATATTCTAACTCTCATTTCCCGGTCATTCTCGTCCATTCAGCAACGTTTGTATAGTGTATAGTTGGATGTTAAGGTGAATAGGGTCGGGGCTTCCTGCTGGAGGCCGAGGCACTGACCATCCACACGCCCTCAGCCAGATGTCTGTTCACTCTGACATTACCTGTTCAAATCGGTTCGCTGTTGAGATGATATGTAGTGCAACAACTCACACATGAGAGATTTCTGGCGTTGCCTGCATGAATTAGAAGCGGGCGTTAAAATGGGATGAATATTCAGATGAGATACCATTCATTTCCATATAATGGTCGCCGCTCAGGGAGATCTATAATCACGCTGAGAAAGAAAGTTGCAAACTGTGTATGAGGGAGAATTACAATAATTTTATGCCGCATTTACGATTGGAAATGTGCAACTTTACTGACCTTAATTTCCTTGCATCGTTCTGCTCTATAATTGTTATAGATGAACACTGGTTATACACAACAGACTGCCAAGTATATCTGGTATGCGTTATAAGTCCAGTCGTGTAGGATGAACATGGAAATAATTTTTATATATCCTTCTTAGACGTTTAATGTGACTCGACCAAAACAGATGCAGATATAATAATGTAACAGCCGGTCAATCTGAATTTCAAATCAGAATAGAAGAATTCGGTCCAAAAAAAGAAGACAAAATTGAAGATAAGAATATATGCAATCTTGAGTGAGTGATAAAAATATGACTCTCTTTACTTTATGCATTTTTCGCTATTTTATTTATTTTTTTATTTATTTATTTATTTATTATTATCATTATTATTATTATTATTATTATTATTATTATTATTATTATTATTATTATTATTATTATCATTATCATTATTATTATTATTATTATTAATAATAATAATAATAATAATAATAATATTAATTATTATTATTATATATTATTATTATTATTATATTATTATTATTATTATTATTATTGATTGTAAGAAAGTCCCTCAAATTATCTCATTTACATGTTTTCGTCTTAAAATTATAATAATGATGATTTTATAGCTGATTATGCTGGTTAATGATGACAGTTCAAAAAATGCTTAGATTTCCAGGAACAAAATTAATGGCGATAATAAAAATGCAATAAGAATGATGACCAAATAATAGAAAAATGAGAATTTAAAGAATGTAATAATACTGACAATGAATATGCTTACAATAATGATGAAAGTGGTGACGATGATAGTAATGGTATTATCATGAGATAATAATAATAGTAATAATGATACATAATGATAATAAATAATGATAAATAATGATGATAATGATCATAATTTAATAATAATAATATGATTATAATAATGTAATATAATAATAATGATGATAAAATAATAAATAATATATTATAATAATAATAAAATGGTAAAAAAAATGAAATGATAATAATGATAATAATAATAATATAATAGTAATAATAAAATAATGAAATGGTAATAATGATAATATGATAATAATTATATAATGGTTATGATAAAATAACGATAATAATCCTAATACTAATACTATATGATATATTAATAATAATAATGACAACAACAACAACAATGACTACTTACTACTACTACTACTAATAATAATAATAATAATAATAATAATATAGTAATATAAAATAAAATATAATAATGATAGTAATGAAAAAATAATAATGATAATGATAATGATAATAATAATAATAATGATAATATATAATGATAATAATAATAATAATAATAATAATAATAATAATAACAATGACAATAATAATGATAATGATAATAATAATAATGATGATGATAATAATAATAATAATAATAATGATAATAATGATAATAATAATAATAATAGTAATAATAACGCAAATGAAAATAAAAATGATAATGATAATAATAACAACGACAGCAATTGATGAATGATAATAATAAAACTAGCGAGACCCGCATGGAATTCCACGGAACGAAAACAATTAACAATTAACTTTCTCTCTCCTCTCACTTCCTTTCTTCTCTCCTTCTTTCTCACTACCTTTCTCTTCTCTTAAATTCAATCTTCCTTTCCTCCCACTTTGAATCCTATATTTTCCTTTTCCCATTTCCCTCTTCTTCTTCTTTAATCTCCCTTACCTCCTTCGCTCCCTTATCCTCTTCCCCTCCTCCCAATTCCCCGTTTCTCCCTGCCTTTTCTCTCTTTCCCCTTACTCATCCCCCTCAGTTTCCCCTTTCCTCTTTCCCCCTCTCTTCTTAATGCTTTTCCCCCCTCTTTCCCCTCCCTCCTCCTTAAGTCCCCTTTCTTTTTTCCTCTCTTCTCTCTCTCTCTCTCTCTCTCTCTCTCTCTCTCTCTCTCTCTCTCTCTCTCTCTCTCTCTCTCTCTCTCTCTCTCTCTCTCTCTCTCTCTCTCTCTCTCTCTCCTCTCTCTTTCCTTTTAAGAACCTCCTACTTCCTTTTTTAACTGGTTGTCATAGAAACAGTAAACGTAGATAAATTCAAGGATTGAAAACCAAAACTGTATTTGCTTAGAAGAATTATCAAAATGATAATAGTGATAATAACATCAATAAAATAATGATGATAACAATAAGAAGGATAATGATGATTATCATTATCATTATCATTATTATTATATTTATTCTTATATTCTAATATTTCATCATAATTTATGATTATTATCATTTTATTATTTATATCATTATCATTATTATTAAGATCATTATCATTATATATTATATTATTATATATTATTATCATTATTATTATTCATCATTATTATTCATTACTATTATTACTATTATTTTTCCAATTAACGTCATTATCATATTATACCATTACCATATTATATTATTATACTATTATTTATTATTATATTATATTATTATTATTATTATTCATTATTATTGTTATTATTGTCATTATATTATTATATTATTATTATTATTATTATTATTATTATTATTATTTCATTATAAAAATTATTTATTATCATTATTATTCATTATCATTATTATTATTATTATTATTATTATTATTATTATTATTATTATCATTATTATCATTGTCATCATCATTATCATCATTATTTATTATCTCTACTATTATCATTATTTTTACTATCATTATTATCATTGTTATTATTATTATTATTATTATTATTATTATCATTATTATTATATTACTATATTATTATTATTATCATTATCATCATCATCATCATCATCATTATTATCCTTATTATTGTCATTATTATCATTATCATTATTATTATCATTATTATTATAATTAGTATTGCTATTATTATCAATATTATCTTTTATTATCATTGTCATTGTCATTATCATTGTTATCGTTATGATAATGATAATGATAACATTGATAATAATGAAAATAATAATAATTCTTATTACAATTATCATTATTGTTACTATCATCATTATTTTCATTATCATTATTATTAGCGCAATTGTTATTATTATTATCATTATTACTATTATAATTATTCCTATAATCATTATTATCCACTATTATTATTAGTATCATAACAATAATGATACTAATAATGATAATAACAGGGTTAGAATAGGATTCTAATACATTCGTAATATGAATCCTTTATATGAGAGTATGTATATATATATACATATATATACATGTGTAAACATACATACATATATATTTGTGTGTCTGTGTGTATATATGTGTGTGTGCGTGTGTGTATGTGTATATGATGTGTATGGTGTGTAGTGTGTGTGGGTGCGTGTGTGTGTGTGTGTGTGTGTGTGTGTGTGATGTGTGTGTGTGTGTGTGTGTGTGTGTGTTGTGTGTGTGTGTGGTGTGTGTGTTGTGTGTGTTGTGTGTGTGTGTGTGTGTGTGTGTGTGTGTGTGTTGTGTGTGTGTTTGTGTGTGTGTGTTGTGCACATGTGTGTGTGTGTGTTGCTGCACATTGTGTGTGTGAGTGTATGTATTTGATTCTTAAATATTTATTTTGTCAATCATTACTCTATTATATATAAAAATGAAGCGAATTCAGCTCCGTTGTTATAACATAACATATACTTTGAGGCGTGATGTATAAGCGAAACTTGCGAAGAGGCGGCCGGGCATAATGCAAGCTAAATTGTAATATAAATGGTAATGAGAATAATAATATGACAAAGAAACTAGCCATAACAGCAACGCCAACAGTGATACAAGTAATGAGGGTAATGGTAATTATAGTATGATAATAATGATAATAATAATGATATTAATAACAATGATAATGATGCTAATAATAACAATGATAATGATAATAATAATAACGATTATGATAATAATAACGATGATGATGATAATAATAACAACGATAATGATAATAATGATAATAACAACGATAATGATAATAATGATAATAATAATGATGATGATATAGATAATTGTAGAAGAAAGAAAATACCAATTATAACAATATTCATAGAAAAGTAAATTTCGATAGTAATGAAAATGATAATGATAACAGTGAAAATAATGATAATAACTACAACAACAGCAATGATAATGATATCCATGACAATAATGATATTGGAGTTAATAGCAATAGTAATAATAATAATAATAGTAAGAACAAGAATGATAATAATAATGAGAATGATAT